TATAATCTGTCCAGCTAACACTCAATAGTGAACCAGCTTTTTAAAAGGTAATGCTAACCACACAATTAGATTTCTAAGGTTTATAAACTTTTCATTAAATAGTAAGTTACAACTTCCTGAGTAAAAAATTATAGAGAAGATCTCTGAGTAGTTTGTATTTCATAGTCAATAAGGAAAACTTAGCAGTCACTTGCTACATATTTTTCCTCCCAAAAGAATTGAAATGAAACTTGCTCCATTCCTCATGAAGGACCTGAAAACTACTGTGATTTCAAAAAACTGGAGAGCTGAACCATTTGAGTTTGCTCAGCATTGTACAGGTTTTAGTGCAGGCAGCCTCTTGCAGTAGCACTCAGTCCCCAACAGAACTTAGATCTGGGGGTGGTTTCCCTGGGGAAGATGGCCATGCCTTGCTCTGATTGGAGAACAGAGTGGGTGGTGAAGTTCTTGGGCTTTTTTTTTTTTAAACCTTGCAACCCTTCACAGCGCTCCTTTCTCTCTTCCCTGCCGTGTTCTTCTCTGAGCACTGGATGAGTGGCAGGCATGTTTTACTCCTAGTTTTCCTGCAAGTGATTATCTAGAAAAGGGCTCTTCTGTGCTTGAATTTCTGACACTTTCACCCCTCCGCTTGTTTGTTTTCTTTGGCAGCTGCCCCGTTTCCACATGCCTGAGCTGAAGAAAGGACCCAGACTAGACAGAATGTTTGCCATGGCAGCTCCTTGGGAACTACTCTGTTAGTCTTATCTCTGGCTGTCACCACAGGCGTGGTATCAGAGAGGCGAATCATTCATTGCCTGGGACTTTTGCTGATTAAATAGCTCTTGGCATCTCTTTCCACTAGAGGGTCTCCCATAAAGCACAGGAAGCAGCAGATTAGACATGACCTTTATTTTAAAATTTGGCAAAATTAGTTTGCATAATCCATTGAATTCGTCCCTTTGAATTTCTTGCATACTTTTAAAAATTTCCCTTCCACCGACTTTCTAGCACTCTGGTCTATTCAGCTGCTATTTCCTAAACAGAAAGAAAAACTGTCACAGACATATAGGCAATGAAATTCTTCCCAGTTGAAAATAAGGTGCATATGCCAGTATTCATCCAGAAGCTGGAATTTGCTTTCTCTGTGCTTTTGAAAGCCTAAAAACAGTGTCAAATCATCCTCTATCATATAGCTGCCGTTTAACAGTGAAAAGGCGTAGTTTGCAAGAAACGATCAGGCTTAAGCAAGCAGCCATGTGCTGATATATACAAATTCCACCAATTGGCAAGGGAAAGTACTTTATTAAAATTCCTTGAAATGAAATGTTTGCTTAATTATGGTTTCCATAGTGACAGTGTAACATGCAGCACAGCCAAGTACATACAACCCTCACTTAAATAGCATCTTCCAGTCTGGTTTGGCTCTCTTTGCTTTTTTAAATTTACATTTTCATGAGCTCATATTAATTGCACAAATGAATGGGGGTCATTTTGATGACACCAAACACACAGATGCTGTGTGCTGAGCGTATCCATCTACTCTTCTGCAACCTGGGACTCTTCTTTCTCCTCCTCCCTGCCCCACCACTCTTCCCTCTTCCTAAAACTCCCAGTGAATTTGTTTCCATTCCCCCAATCCTTCCCATTTTCCTGTTTTCTGCTCCATTTAGCACTTCTCCAAGGTTGCCTTACTGGTCTCCATGCAGTGATGAGGAGCTGTGTCTTCCTGTGTCTGGCTTCTTTCACTTGACAGAATGTGCCCCAGTTCTATCCACATTGCTGCAGGGAACAAGATTCCCTTTTTAATGGCTGAGTAGCAATCTGTTAGGTAATTGTACTGCATTTTCTTTATCCGTTCATTTGTTAAAGGGCATCTAGGATGGCTCCATAGTTTGGCTGTTATGAGTAGTGCTGCAATAAACACGGGTGTGCAAGTATCTTTCAGATATAAATGTTCCTCTCAAATCAGGTAGTAGAACTGCTGGATCATATGGTAGTTCTACTTTCAGTTTTCAGGAATCTCCATGTTTTTGTTTTGTTTTGTTTTTTCCTATAAGGGCTACACTAATGTGCCTTCTCACCAATAGTGCATAAAGGCTCTTACTTCTCCACATCCTTGCCAGCGTTCATTTGTTTCTTTTTGATGATAACTGTTCTAACTGGAGTGACGTGGTATCTCAATTATGGGCTGTTGCTTTGTTTGAGGTACCAAGAATCAAACCTAGTCCTAGCACATGCTAGGCAAATGCTTTACTGTAGCATGAGATCTCCTACCCTTGTTTTGTTTGTACACATGGCCTCACTCTGTAACCCAAGCTGGCTGGAACTCACCAGGCTGACCTTGACCTGCAGTGATTCTTCTGCCTCAGCCTCTTCTGTGCTGGAATTACAAGCAGGGGCCACCACACCAGGCTCATCATGGCTTTGATTTGCATTTCTCCTATGGTTAGTGAAATAAAGATTTTTCCCATGTGTTTATTGGCCATTTGTATGTTTTAAGAAGTGTCTGTTTAGTTAGTGTGTTTCTAATTAGATTTGGGGTTTTTGTGAGTTCATCTTTCTGAGCTCCCTCTCTATTCTGAATGTCAGTGCCTTCTCTGATAACCCATTTCAAATATTTTCTCCCACCTGTAGGCTGTCTCTTTATCCTATTGTTTGCTGTGCAAAAAGTTCCTACTGAATTCATTTGTCTATTTTGACTTTTGTTGCCTATACATTTGGAGTCTTTTCTAAAAAATATTTGCCTACATCTGTGTGTTGAAGGATTTCCCCTAGGTTTTCATATAGTAGTTTTGTGGTTTCGTTTAAGATTTAGGTCTTTGTTTCATTTTGAGTTGGCGTGTGTGTGTGTGTGTGTGTGTGTGTGTGTGTGTGTGTGTGTGGTGTTGAGAGAGATGTCCCATTTAGGTTTAAGCACCTACAGTCTAACAGCACTTTCACCAGCTCTACCTCTCTCATGAGTGCTGTCCACAACTACTGACCAAGGTTGAGAACAGCCGAGGTATATGGGTACTGGAACCTTATTTAGTAACTCCTTACCTGTACTTACAAGTTGAAAAGTACTCCTTACTTTTTCTGTACACATTTCGTTGTATAGAAAAGGGATCCAGTTTCATCCTTCTGTATATGCATTTCCAAGTTCACCAACTGTTTATTGAAGAGATTATCTTTTTTTTCCAGCTAGGTTCTTCCTGTTCATTTTTGGGGGGTGAGATGTAGATCAATGTTAGAGCACTTGTTTAGCATATGGGAGAACATGGGTTCTAGGCATTTTAAGTTCTTATAGTTTTGTTCACCTTTGGACTCCATAGTCTTGGCAGGCATTGTTAGGATCCTTCCAGTCCAGGAAGGACTCCTCAAACTTGGAACTTTATGAAAACAGAAAGTGTTTTGTTGGAAATAATCAAGCTCATGGAGTCAGAGGAGAACAACTATGCAATCAAATTTTACAGTGAGCAGGTTCCAAATCATGGGCTCCAAGTCACAGAATGTGAGAAACACTGGAGCCTGTTGGAGTTGAGAGGGGTCCTTCGGTGAGTGCTGCCCACCTGTTGTGGTAGCCTTCAGGTCTGTGAAAGCTTTGTGTGTGCTGTGCTTGTTCTTGTTCAAGTCAGCACTGCAACAGCACTGTTTCCAACAGACCATGACAGATGGGTCTTAGACCTTGTGTCTTGTGACTATGAAGGCTTGCATTAATGAGGGGGAAAGGCATTTAATGCAAGAGACGTGACACTTCTTTGGATTACTTTAGTGGAAAAGGAGATTTGCAGTAAGGATTTTTGGTAACTAAAACTCTAGAAACTAGGTATTTTCCCTGTCTTGTAAACCGTATGATCTTCTTTATCTGTTTTATTTTCTTTCATCTAAGGGTAGAATTCTTTGACTTACAGTTTCCCCATTCTCATGATATCAATTTTAACTAGTCTTCTAGGCCTCCTTCTAATCCAGAACTTTAAACCAGTTCCAAACGTGAACTTGTTCTGTCTCATTATTGTTCCAAATCCAAGTCCCAGTGTGACATGGATTCATAAATGTTTTGGTACTTTAATACTCGTCTTTCCTACAAGATGATATGCTTTTCAAGACCAGGGTGAGGTCTGTCACTGAGTACCCACAGTACCAGAACAAAAGAGATACTGAGTAAATATTGTCTAAATGAATAAAATGTGACTTTGCATTGGGAGTTCTGTTGATAAATGTTCTTGGACGGGCATTTTTCCATACAGGGTTGACCTGACTGAATCTCCTCCAATGAGTCAGTTTGGACTGAAGTCACTTTTTGTCCTGTTCTGTGAAAGGACTTCAAACATTTCCAGTAAAAGTTGATGAATATTTAACAGTAGGCTGAGGGGTGAAGCTCAGTGGTAGGACATGTTATTAACATTCCTGAGTTCTCCAATTAAATACTCCTGTTGTTTATTTTAACCATCTCAGAAACAATCTTATGGTAGCAACAGTCACTGTAATGTGTTTTCTAGTATCAACCCCAGGCTTTCTTCCCTTATTGTTTTATCATAAGACAGATAAAATTATTTTCAGAAGCATTTTGAAAATTATGTAAATACATGTGATTCGTTACCTCGGTGGATAAAATGTTTATTCTGAGAGCATGGTCACTGTCCACAACATTTCTGTAATTCCTTTTTCAGCGCCATTAACTTGTTTCTTTTGTATTTTTGAAGTGGCTAGAATTCAGGAATATATGAACAAAAATGTGAATACATATGTTTTACTAAATTTTACTTAGAAAATTGTCATGTTTGCTTCATCTTTTTCTCTCTGACAGATAACGAAAGATCCAAATTTTTAATGATCACTCTTATTTTTATTTAACCATCCACATTTGCACATGGATAGCTGCAACTCTTTGGCATTAACTTTAGAAACTGCCTATTTAGCCCTCCAGATTTAGTATTAGCTACTACACATGAGGAATGCTATTATCTGCCTTAAGTGGGGTTTTCAGTTTCATTGCCTAAAATCTAATGTGGAAATAAGATGGATTTTCTTGTAATCTGTAGGAAATGTTTGATGTTATATTGGATGAGAATCAGCTTGAAGATGCGTGCGAACATCTGGGAGAGTACCTTGAGGCATACTGGCGTGCCACCCACACAACCAGTAGCACCCCCATGACCCCATTGCTGGGGAGGAACTTGGGCTCCACGGCGCTCTCACCATATCCCACAGCAATCTCTGGGTTACAGGTATTATTGCTTCCCCCTCCCTTACAACTTTCACCTTATATTAGGATTCAATAAAGAACTTGAGTAAGGAAGACTCAGGTTGTCCTTAATCTGGAGAGGCACCAGGGAAAACATTATATTTTTTTAAAAAATCTGCACTGTTACCTGATCCTGATCTATAGTAGAAAAAGCCCCCATCTCACCCCCAATGACCTTTGCTGGAAAACTTTGCTGTGAATTTATAATAAATTTTTATTATATGTAATAAATTTTAGATTATTTAGGTCAATTAATTCCTGGTAGACTTAATACCTAGTCAGTGCAATTGCCCACAACTGCTACATGGCACTGTGGACAAGTAAGTAAGATATTCTGGGATAGATAGGGTGGCTGCCCTTAACTATTCTTGCCCCACAGGCTGCTGGGATCTGGCCTCCATCTTGCACAACACAATGTGTGAGCAGATGTAGAAATGACGATAGAGCTCAAGTGTTCATGGAACATCCAGGGGCCTACCTCAGTCAGCGCAGGGAACCTGGGGATAAGCACAGAGGGTCAGGAGTTTCTCTTCTGCTGCTCCGCTGCTGCATTCAGAACTAGATGTTGGGAGCCAGAAGCATTGTGATACAAAATGAGTCTTGCCTTCTGCATTAATTATTATTTGCCATTTATCATGCAGCTGGAATGTATCCAAACCCCCAGCTGAGGAACATGCAGTCAATTTAAGCCTCTTGCATCATAACTGGTTTTGTTTTAATGGGCTATAATGATAGTCATAATTTGTAGAGTTAACTCTAAGCTAAATGGCACTCTCTGAAATGCTATTATAACTGCATTACTCTACTGCAGAATTGCACCTTTTTAAGCAGAAAACCTACCATATAAATGAGTTTCTTTTGAATATGGGAAATGTACAACTGTAGCGTCCAGCATTTATGTGTGCACTAGCATTATTTCTAGCCTTGTTTCCCTTCCTGTATGCCAGTCTGAGTGCAGCATTTCCATTGGCTATGGTTGGCTCTGAATGGTACATAATGGGACAAGGAATGGATAAGTGTATCAGTAGCCTTTCTAATATAGGAGAAAGTTTAATGTTCACTTTGTTTATGAATACAACAATCTTGAAACATTACCCCTCAAAGTATCCACCTACAGTAGCTCTCCTAGCATGATTAATGAGTTAATGTGGTGCCCTTTGTCCTCTGGTCTACTTCCAGCAGTACCACAGGCACTTGATTGTTGAACACCTGGCTGAAGTTAATGACATGATCTCTTATCCAGAGAATGAGCTTCCTTCTGCATGAAGCTGTTGTGCTTCCTGGAAGATCTACCTGGCCCATGGTTGCATCAGGATTCCCTTCCTTCACTTTAGTGGCCTACCTAAGCTGCTAGACACAGACATGTGCTCCTAAAGTGAAAAAAAGTGTCAGAGATCATATTTGGAGCCATCAAATAAGTGCCTTAAGATATTCATTTCAATGAATAATACTAGGAGAATTTGGTTTATATCTGAAGATTTTTTTGCATAATATTTCATTTAAGAAAGCAGGATATACAAAGGCCTGATCTAGCTGCTCTGTGATGCACTCCTGAACTAACTGGCTCCGCAGTGCTGTGTACACACGAATTAGCTGCTCTGTAATGCTGTATACTCCTTTGGAAAGAATATAGCTGAGAACTTCACATTTACATAGGAGATAGAAAAATGCATTATTTTCTGGATAGTACAAATAGTACTTCACTAATTTTTTTACTTTTTAAAAATATTTTATTATTTTTACCCCATGTGTATGAGTGTATTGCCTGCATGTATGTGAGTGCACCCGAGTCATGCAATGCCACAGAGGTCAGAAGAGGGCCTTGGAGTCCCCTGGAACTGGAGTTAAGGATGGTCCATAGCCGCCATGTGGGTGCTGGGAATCGAACCTGGGTCCTCTGCAAGAGCAGTCAGTGCTCTTAACCGCCAAGCCATCTCTCCAGCTCCATGTATTTCATTAAATTTTTTAAAAATTTATTTTTATTTTATGTGTATGAGTGTATTGCCTGCATTTATGTTAGTACACCTGTGTCCTACAATGCCCACAGAGGTCAGAAGAGGGTATTGGATCCCCTGGAACTGGAGTTATGGATAACTGTTAGTCACCATGTGGGTGCTGAGAATCAAAACCAGGTCTTCTGCAAGAGCAGCCAGTGCTTCTAACTGCTGAGCCATCTCTCCAGCCCCCATTAGATTTTTTTTTAAAGTTTAAGGATCATTCAACCAGATCAAGATGACTTGAGGAAAGATTTTGTAAGTTCAAGGAAGGAATCAAATAACATTTATTCCAATTCTATTCCCAATGTAAAATAATTCTCATTTTCTGGCAATAGAAGGAGAATTATTAGGCCTACCTATTTAATTGTCATCTTTCAGTTCTGTTTTTTTGTTTGTTTGTTTGTTTGTTTTGGTTTGGTTTGGTTATTTTGGTCTTTTTGAGACAGGGTCTCCCTGTAGCCCCAGCTATCCTGGAACTTACTATGTAGACAAGGCTGGCCTTGAACTCACAGAGATCCACCTGCCTCTGCCTCCCGAGTGCTGGGATTAAAGGTGTGCGCCACCACGCCCGGCTCAGTTCTGTATCTTTAATAGGAAGCATAGTCATTCAGTGCTACGTAATTACATTCATAAACTTTCAACACTCTGGCATCTGTGTATGTTGTGTCCCAAAGAAATAAGGTCAGATATTTCCAGCAGACCATTTGTGCTTCAGAATGCTTTATTAAGTTTGATATTTAAAATCTTGTTATGTACATTCACGTTTAGATGAATGAAGCTGACACTATCTAACCAGTGAATCATCTGCTATTTTTAGAGTCAGCGAATGAGGCACAGCAACCACTCCACAGAGAATTCTCCAATTGAAAGACGAAGCCTAATGACCTCTGATGAAAATTATCACAATGAAAGGGCTCGTAAGAGTAGGAACCGCTTGTCTTCCAGTTCCCAGCACAGCCGAGATCATTACCCTCTGGTGGAAGAAGATTACCCTGACTCATACCAGGACACTTACAAACCCCATAGAAACCGAGGCTCACCTGGAGGATATAGCCATGACTCTAGACATAGGCTTTGAGGCTGCTGAAACCACATACACACACACACACACACACACACACACACACACACAACACACACAACACACACACACAAATTCATTTGTTGGCAATTTGCCATAGCACTGCTGGTTTAAACCAATCATCTTAATTTGGCAAGCACAGTGCAGGATGTGCTGTGGGCTGCTGTCATGTAATGCTAAGGGGCAAAAAAATTAAAGTACATTATGCCCTTGGGTTAGATGGATATTAGAAGCCCAATCATAGAGATATTTTTAAGTGCAACATTTACATAACAGTACCTTTTGTTTTCTTCACAGATTTTAGGCACATCAATTTGTAATTTAGGGTACTTATCAAGGCACATATAAAATAATTTCCCATGTAGGAAATTCCAAATGACCAGTTCCAGTTGGAACCAATTTATAAACCAATTCCTGTTGGAATTTGGGTGAATTGACTGGAAAGTCTACTTGAGCATGTTGAAATCAATTGAAAAATTAGAAAAAAAAACTAATAAAATCAAAATGCCAATAAGAAGCCAAAACCAGCTACGGTATTTATTTGCTGGAACTAAATTTACACTTAAAGTTAGAATGTATAAACATTTTAATATATGTTAATGTTTCCAGAATGGCTTTCAACTTACCAAATGTATTGATAGTGCCAAAAAATAAAACCCTCAGAAATCTTAATGCAGAAATTATATAGTCTCCTCAGAGTTTAATAGTTTTATTTTTTCCTGGCACAGCTGTTGTATTCAAAGTGTTTTGCTTTGTGTTCAATAAGTACTGTTAGCTTATTTGAAGTTGGCAAAAAAAAAAAAAGAAAGAAAAAGGAAAGAAGAGTTTTTTTTTTAGCAACAAGAATAGTAAAGCAAAGCCCAAGCATAGCTGGTTATAAGATGAAAAGGAGCTGTTTCTTCTGTAATCAGTCTGGGCACAACTACACACATCTGAGGATCTGAAGTCAGATAACCAAGATATGGGCAGATCCTCCTGGATGCGAAGGTAATGGTCTCAGGACGGGAGCTCATCCATTCCACTGCATGGCAACACAGCTCAGGATTTCCTGCTGGTATGGCTGAGTATCTGTCCCTTGCTTCACTCAGTCTTTGAATATATGGATGTTCCAGCCCTATACCACATTTTTTTTTTCAGTTATGCTAACAATTTTGGTTTATCATGTACATATTCAAATTAGATACTTAAGAGTTATGTCTTCACAAAATAAATAATTGGAAAAAGTTAAAACAATGAACTAAAATCTTACAGAGAAAAGCTTATAGATTCAGAATATATTTGTTCACTAAAATAAAATTTTAATACAAGGGATTATGAAGAGTTGAAGACCAAGCTATCTTATTTGTAACACTTGTTTTGCTTGTACTTAGTTTTTCCCATGAGTCTAATTATGGGATCAATGATCCATGTCCTATATTATCAAAAAAGACTTTAATTCACTATGTTCCAAGAAATTATTGAAACTGACCCTTTTATATAAGAAACAAATGTCTTTACCAAAAGACTTGTTTCTCAAAAATACAATGTGTGCATTTTCTAAAACCCCAATTGGACCTAGGTATAAAAATCCTTTTGTACTGGTACATATTATAAAGCCTGCTTTTGAAAACAAGGATAATTAATATTTTTTTTGGTCTTTTTGAGACAGGGTCTCCCTGTAGCCCCAGCTGGCCTGGAACTCACTGTGTAGACCAGGCTGGCCTTGAACTCACAGGGATCCACCTGCCTCTGCCTGAGTGCTGGGATTGAAGGTGTATGCCACCACACCTGGCCAAGAATAATTAATTTTGTATTGTCTTATTTTTCTCCAAGTTTCTCAAGATTTAAGCTTTCAAGGTATGTGCCAGTTCACTAATTTGCCTGATCCAGAGAGTATGTTCCATATTACTGATCAGTTATTTATCTGTTGAAGTCTATCAGCCTTGCCATATACCCTCCCCTCATGTCTACTGTTTATGTAACCCATTATGAGCCTGTTTAGCTGATAATGAGGCTGATTGTAATTTTGTAAGTCATCTCAAACACTCAATACAATTAAAATATGGGCTCAGTAAAATTTACAAGTTAATATATGATATGGCTTGTGAAGTTCTTTTGTCATCTAGTGAAGCCAACTTTCAGTTAAGACATTTAAAAGAGTTGTATCCATTAGGCTCTTTAATAAACATGTAATCTGCCATTACTGAATACTTTGAAGAGCATTTTCCAGCAAACAAAACTATATTTATTACATGTACAGCACATATTTGCATGAGAAAGAAAACACTAGCCAAAACATTTTTCTATATGCTTTACTGGTTTCTTGTTTGTGCGCATTAAAGTATTTAATTGCAAAGAGTGCAGCAAGGTGTATAAATTTAGACTAGACAGCTGTTCAGCTTTTTCTGCAGTAGTGTTAGCAATTTGGTCATTTAGCTACTTTACGATATTTACATTTTATGGCAGGTAGCTGCAGCAGCCTTTACATATATTTCCTAGTCAACAAGATTACCATTTCTTTCAACTTTTAAAAACTAACTTGTTTTTCAAGCCTCTCAAACCTCTTTTTCAAAATCTTCTGTCATGCTAAGGAGGGAGGCCCATTTAATCTCTGTGCACAAAACTCACCTACCACTTGCTATCAAGGGTTTTACTTTGTTTTTACTTTACATTCCTATTTAAGTAACAATCTCAGAAAGGGTATAATGTATATTTTTGATGGATATATTTACTATTTCATTATAATTTGGCATATCTTTCATCTTTGTCCTGTAATAAGTTTATCTTCTCCAAATAAATAGGAGATATGCCTCTTCCTTTCTTTTTAAAGTCTCAGAGTTGATTTTGTAAATGTTACTAAAATCCAGATATATACTAATTAAAGTTTTATTTTTACCAAGCATACGAAGCACCTTTGAAAAATATATACTCCACAAAAAAAATTTTCTTTTGGTCTTTTTGAGACAGGGTTTCCCTGTAGCCCCAGTGACCTGGACTTCACTCTGTAGCCTAGGCTGGCCTCCATCTCACAGAGATCCTCCTGCCTCTGCCTAGTGCAGGGATTTAAGGCGTGCATCACTGCACCTGGCTAATATTTTGTTTTTAATTCCTCTCACTTTAAATGGCAAATGATGATAAGCAAGAGGAACAAGTTCATATCATTCTGAGGCTGTTTTACCTTATAGAATAAACCACATTAGAATTGTGTAGTTTTTCAATACATGTAATAATGTAGAGTCATATGACAATGTAGAAATCTGGTCCTGGAAAAGAAAGAAATGCAATTTATGGATCCTGGTGTTAATTCTCAAGGCTATAATGTGACTCCAATCTCATAATCAACAGTGTTACCTTGTTTACACCAACACTTAAAGCAACACTCCTGTTTATAAATGACTGATGATTCTCTCTTGTCTTTATACAGTTTATTGGGAGGAAGATTGGAATTGTTAACAATTTAGACTCATGGTCTTTCCTAAAAGGAGTCTTAATTGTGTGATTATAAGTCATTGCATTTCATCCTTTATGAAATGGATTTTTTTTAATGTGAAACAAATTGAAACAATTATTTGTTCCCTTTAAATAATTTGTTATTTATTCTATTATTGTTGTTTGCAAAAATGTATTTTTGGAATGTTAACCTTTTTTCATACCTGCATACTTGAACTTGTCTTTTGTGGGGGGGCACTTAAAATTCATAATAGAGAGTGGGGGCAGTAAAAGGGAGAAAGAGAAGGAAATTGTGGTAAAAGATGGTTCACAATCTTAAACTCTTTAAAAGAACATATCACAAAATGTTGAGACCCAGGATGTCAGCTAAGAATGTTTCTAGGCAACCTTAATTTGCAAGCTAGTATATTTTCTTATATAATTTTATTTTGTTATTTGCTAAAAAAAAATCACCACTATACAAATTTCCCTCTATAATGACGTTTATACTACCTCTTCTCTAGAGAAAAGTCTGTCTTTAAAGAGAAAAGTACTTGTCAAGGACTAGTGATAAAGTTTCTGTTACTGCTTAACCTTGCTACAAAGCTAAGTGCTTACAAGTGTGAAAATATGCCTGCCCTTTAGTTTTCACAGTTTTCAAATGCTCTTGTCATACTTTCATTTCTTCCATGTTAGCAAAGTTTTCTTATAATTGATTAATGGTTTATCCTGAAGCACGTTTAACAAAGAAGTCATCATAGGGAACAAAACTAACAGAAAGGAATCCTGTTTGTATGTAAAGCGTTAGAACATGTAGCTCAAGGTCTTAAAAAAAAAAAAGTTCAGAGACTGGATGCTTAAAGGCAAATGGTTTGAAAATGCAAATTTTGTTGATCCTTGACTTCTATGGGCACCAAGGGCATGATTTAGCCACTTACTGGGTAAGGATATACATTGTCTTGAATTCCCATGTAATTGGAACACAGTTCATATCAATGTTTCAAATAAATGCTTATGCAACCCTTAGTCTTTATATTTCTGCCTTTGTCTTTCATGACAATGTTGCATTTTTTTTAATCATATGAAACTCGTCCTTGACCATATGACTGGAAACTATATAGAAAATTACATAACAAAATCTGTTTTATTAGTTCCTTTATCTTTATTGTCAGTACTATAACTGTTAACTGTTACTTACTTCAGCTGTGTCTGTGGCTGCTAACAGTCCTCCTCTTTTAAATGATACTCATGATCAAACCAGTCAACATAAGAGCTGTTAGACATTAAGAATAACTTTTTCTTGTTGAGTTAAGCAATCAAGTTAATTAAAACAGTAAAGTTGGTTTATATGGGCAGATAGCTACAGCATTCAGAAATTGCTCTTTAAAGGTTTCTTCTGTTAGAAGGGCCTTTCTCCTATGAAATACATCCTCTGATAGCAATGTCTTTATCTACTTGTGGATAATTTAATCTCTGACTCTGCATATAATTAAGGTGTATTTTGAGATTAGAAAATATCTCATCAGATAATCTTAATTAAGGGCTGCAACTCCTACTTGCCATAAAATACATATAAATAAGTGGGAATAGCATTGAGCTTTGGGGAGTTACAGTTTCATATGAAACTTTTCTTTTGATGCTTGGAAAATGTTTGCAGAAAGATGAAAGAGAATGTTACTAATGCATTGATAGTAGTTTGGTGAATACAGTGATTCTTCCTCATTTGAAAATTATAAGGAGTTAGAATAAGAACTAAGAACTGAAAGTGGCTGGCCTGTAGCTGTTCAAGTTCTTGGTCATGTTTGGAACACTTAGATCTCAATAAATGGCTGTGTCTCCATTCATGAGGGTCTTTGCCTGACCTACTCGCATGTCACTTTCACACACTTTTACCTGAAACTAGTGTGACTTCTGTATGCATAGGATGTATTGAGGATGCAGGATCATTAATGCTATATTGTTGCATACTATTTTTCATATGCCTTACGATATTTTCTGGGACGTTATTAAAATGAAAGCATTTTATTGTTAAAATAAATCTATGTTGTTACTTCTGCATTAGCAGTAGAAAAATAATGTAGCAAAAACGTATATTGTACAGTACAAAATTATAATATATATATATTTTGCCAATAATATGAAACTAGATTGAGGAGAAAGAAGCACATTTGTTATAGCACAAACTTACAACGAAATCCACTGTTAAATCTGGCAGTCCTGTTTTTCAAAAGTATGTAGATTTGGTTCTGTTTTCTCAGATTTACTTCACCTATCATCTTTTAAATCTGCTGCTCCATATTTTTTCCAGCAACTCCATAGCCTTGCAATATGTGGATGTAACATTTTATTTTATTCCCTGACATATAACTTATTAAATTTTATTTGGGGATAAGACTCACACTGTTTTACTATATCTTACTGTATTTCTT